ATTCTTCTGATTTAAGTAGCTTTTGAAGTCGACCGATGTTTGTCATTGTAGTAAAGATGCGGCGTTATGATGTCCGATCACACGATTGTGACGTCATAACATCAAACTGCAACAATTACAGTACATCACACGATTGTGACGTCACGACTTCAAAGTGAAACTTTTACTTCCTCTTTTTATTTTATTGAAAACTGTAAACACAAAAAATTAGTTACGTTAAGCGAAAAGGGACCTTCGTAACATAATCGTAATTACGTCACAATAGCGCTTCAAAGAAGTGACGTCTAGTCTGCGCGTTTGCCGATAAAAAAATTATACGATAAAGAAAAACAAAAATATATTTGCGTAATACATATTTAAAAAAAAAATTAGACACGCCTAAAACTGTCTTGAAAAAAATGTTCAGTATAGTCAATCTATCGGTTTACTGGTAATTTTTTAAAAAAATTATATAAACTTATTTAATTTTTGATTGTTTATGAATGGTTTAATTTATTCGTGAGCTGTCAAAAATGTTCACCAACAAATTAATGTACGTGCATAGGCTCTGAAAACAATCGCTTCTTTTGCCTTTCCGACTGAGCTCCAGTCTCTACAGATAAGTAATTGGTCTCTAGCGTTTATTTCAAATGATGTTTTTTTGTCTTTTTCTTTTTTTTTTGGGGGGGGGGTCCATGTAACACATTCCAGATTGTTTCTCCGTTAGACAGAAAGGCTCGAGAATTGGCGACTCAGTGCCCAAAGTTTGTCATCAGAGATTAAATATTCGAATCAAGTTCACTGATGCTAGCATGGCTGCAAAAACATTTTGTCAATTAATATTAAGAAAAAATATGAATGCAGCAGCTAAAAACTTTGTTGTACAGTCAAGTCATAAAGGATGAAGCGGCAAAAACCATACGGACTTCCGTATTTACTCACTAAAATTAACACATCACCGTTTGGCGCGACAAAGGTTTGAAAATTTAACTGTATGACGCAATAAAATGTGAAGATAATAAACAGTGGTCATTTTCAAAACTAATTTGTGGTCTTGTTTTCATTGCCTAAATCAATTGCAATAAATTAAAACTAAACACGGTAACTTAAGGTAAGCTGATCTCGTTGAAGTCGAAAATTTATACGAAATAGGTCATGTATTGTATCAGACGCATATACATGTAGGTCATTAGTTTTATTTTCTGATTACTCATTTTATTTGAGGCAAAAAGAGTAGTTCCGGACTAAAAATATGAGCACATCTTGAGTTCATAATCTTACATAATATTGTAATCAATAGGTTTTATTACTCCCCCCCCCCCCCCCCCCCCCGTTTCTGGATGTGCTCGTTTGTGTTACTACGGAAAGGGAAGCCTTTCAAGGATAAATTCCGATTTTTTATTTCTTTATTCTCTCTTATTTTTTTTTAAAATTTATTTTTTGTTTCGATCTTGCTTGTTCATTTTCGTTTTCACGTATTTATTTTACTATTAATTTCTTTTTTTTTAGTTCGACCATAACCAGTTTGAAAACACTGATACAAACACCATATCCCAACCCCACCCCTCCTTCTAAAAAAAAACATCGCTCATATGTTTGATCAATGAATGAAGTACCGGATCATTGTCTTGAAATTCACATCATCAGAAAAGTGTTGTAGTTTTTTTTTCAAACTTCGATAGTTCCGTGTTCTTTCTCAATTATAGATTATATTTGCAGAGTATCAAGATAATCTGATATCTGGGAAGCTATGCACCCCCTTTTCAATTCACACTGCGATTGTAAAATCAATTGATGCTTAAATTTACGAACTCTTATTTCTGTGAACTCTATATATAATTTTGTCTTTTGAGTTTTGAGGACTCCCTTTTTGATCTCTGTAAAAAAAACCTTTTATAAAGTCCTTTCTTACAAATGAAGTTGCTTTCTATACTTGTCTGTTTACTGCAAATGATTTCATTTTCTTCAATCAGGAATAAAGAACAATTCGACAATTTTATTTTAAGAATTACCCATTTTATCATTTCTTGACTCTAAGAAAGAAAAGTAAGGATTTGTTTTAATTTTAACTGGTACGTTTTGTGAATAATATCCTATAATCGTCAATATTTTCTAACTTTAAATTATTTGTTTGTGTTATAAATTCTATGACAATTAACTTATACTATGTAATGTGCAGTGTACATTCCTGGGTTATGACGTCACAATCGTGATGACGTCATAATAGTAATGACATCATTGACTGCTTTGTATTGTATATTGTTACCATGTAAATAACTGTGTTTAGTTTAGATAAAGTATTTGTACCGAACAGATGTGTTTTATCTTACTCGTTACATTTTGGTGCCGTGACCAGACCGTGACTAAACTTTAGCAGAAAATGGAATTACGCAAACTTAAAGCCACCAGGGCAGGAAACAGAGGCGCTGTTTCAAGGAAATTAAATAAACATGAAGGATCCGAAGAATGCTCCAAAGAAGTTCTCTTGTTAGTTTACCAGGATTTGATGAAGAAGAGAAGTTTGATGAATAATTTGGATGAGCAAATACTGAGTCAGACAGCTGAGGAGGAGATCGAGAATGAAATCATTGAGACAGATGAGTATAATTCAGAGTTAGACATAAAACTGATAAACTTTAAAAAGTTCATTGATGAAAAGTTTGCACATGTAACTGGGGAGAAAGATTCTTACAAGTCAAATGATGAATGTGCCGTTTTAAATCCTCTCGAAATAAATCAAATTCCATCTGATCATACAACAGTCCCTAGTTATGCTGTCCCACCTGTACATGAGCATTTTCCTGTGTCAATGCCGTCAGGAAGTTTATCTACTGCTTCTAACCACAAGCTACCGAAGTTATCGTTACCGACATTCAATGGAAACAAATTAGAGTGGCAATCGTTTTGGGACTCCTTTAGTTCCGGGATTGATGAAAATGTTAGTTTAAGCAATGTTCAAAAGTTTAATTACCTGAAATCATTGCTCCTGGGCGAGGCCTTACTTGTCGTTGAGGGATTTACTCTTACTAATGCAAACTATGCAAAGGCAATTGAGCTTTTGAAGGAGAGATATGGACAGCCACACAAGATTACAAGAGTATATATGCAAGCACTCCTGGATTTAACAGAACCAAGTGATTCCTTACACAGTTTGAGAGAATTTTATGACAAGATGGAAACGTATGTGCGGGGGTTAGAAACATTAAACCAAACAGAAGAGAGTTATGGAAGCTTCCTAGTTCCAGTAATTTTAAGAAAATTACCATCAAAAACAAAACAAAACTTAGCCAGGTCACATGGAAGTGATGATTGGACATTGGGAGAATTAAGGAAATCTTTGCGTCATGAACTGTCAATTCTTGAAGCTGGATCAAACACTGATGCGGATTGGTATTCTCACTATTCTGGTGACTCGACATTTCAAAGAACAGCAAATTTTCATACAAAGGCATTTAAGGGCAAACCAATTAACAACAGGAAGCAACCCAAGGCTACGCCTGAAACTGGAGATGTGAGTAAGTACCAAAGCAAATCCTGTGTATTCTGTGATGATAAAAATCATATGGGAGGTAACTGCACCTTAACCACTGAACGAAAGAAAATGATAGTGAAGCAAAAATCATTATGTTTCAACTGTCTAGGATCTCATAGAGTCAAGGACTGTCCTTCAAAGACAAACTGTAAAAAATGTGGGAAACGCCACCATACTTACCTATGCGCCGGCTCAAAGGAAACAACACATGAATCAACATATCATGTCACATCGGAAAACATCCAGTCATCAACGAAGTACGAGAATGTTATCCCTACCTCAACAAGTCTACACACGTCTTCAATGACAAATATTCCAACAATACTTAAAACAGCGACAGCCAAAGTTACCAACGGAGAAACAGTCATGGACACAACTGTTTTATTTGATGAGGGATCACAGAGGTCATTCGTTACAGAAGAACTAGCACAAAACCTGAACTTGAAACAAACTGGAACTGAAACTTTGATGATCGCAGCATTTGGTGGAAAAGAAATAATGCGGACTTTGAAAACGTCAACTTTATTTCTGATTGCGGATTCTGGGGAAAGAATTCAGATTCATGTAGTTATAGTACCATGTATTGCCGCCAAGATCCATACGCATCAAGTACCGATCAAAAACCTCCCTTACCTGAAAGGATTGAAATTAGCACACTCCTATGATGGATCGACATTTGATGTTTCTCTTCTTATTGGAGTTGATCACTTCTGGGATATTGTCGGAAATGACATCATACGGGGAAGTGGACCAACAGCTGTAAGCTCTAAAATAGGATATCTACTTTCAGGACCAACACACTCGAGTGTAAAACATAATCATGTTGCGTCCTACAACATTCTATCTTATCATCGCCCAGAAGAATTGAATTTAGAGAAGTTCTGGAAAATAGAAGACATGGGAAGCTTAGAAAAATCAACTGATATGCCAATTAAGGATCAGAATTATGTCACCTTTGAAAATGGTCATTACACAGCAAAGTTGCCGTGGAGGGAAGAAGTCCGTGATTTACCTTCAAATGACATAATTGCATTGGAACGCACAAAGAATGTAATTCGACGATTATCTCGAGATCCAGATATGTTGAAGACCTACAACAATATTATTGAGGAGCAGGAAAAATGTGGATTTATTGAGAAAGTAGAGCAAGAGGACACGCCCAACCAGCAGGTACATTACATTCCCCACCATCCAGTAAAAAAGGATTCAAGTACAACACCAATTCGGATAGTCTATGACTGCAGTTGTAAACAGTCTGGATGCCTAAGCCTAAATGACTGCCTGGAATCCCACTCTCCACAACTCAATGAAATTCCAACGATTTTAACTCGATTTCGAGCAAAGAGATATGCTGTGTCAACCGACATTGAAAAGGCCTTTTTACAGATCAGACTTCATGAAAAAGACCGGGACATGACGAGATTCTTTTGGTTGACAGATTACACAAATCCAGACGCTGGGATATCTACCTATCGATTCAAAGTCGTACTATTTGGAGCAACTTGCTCGCCATTCCTTCTCAACAAAACCTTGGAAACACATTTTGAAAGAAACCCATGTGAAACCCAAAGAGAATTGTCGAAATCGTTGTATGTAGACAATGTTTTAACCAGTTTCAACGATGAAAATTCACTCATGAAATTCTACAAAACTTCCCGTGTTCTCCTAGCAGAGGCTGGATTCAATTTAAGAAGTTGGAATTCGAACAGCATAAAATTGTGTGATACAGCAGCTGAAGATAGGGTGCTTGACAGTGATAACATTGTGAAAATTCTAGGATTGAGATGGAATCCAAAAACAGACCAAATTTCCTTTCCAAAACTTGATTTAGACATCAATCGGAAATTTGCAACAAAAAGAGAAGTTCTCAGCCAATCATCCAAGATTTTTGACCCACTAGGAATTTTGAGTCCTATCACTATTAGAGCCAAACTTCTTATGCAGGACCTTTGGCAGGAAAATGTTGCCTGGGATGAAAAACTTCCAAAAAATTACCAGGAGAAATGGTACGAACTTACCGAGGAACTTGCTGAATTGTCGTTGACTACAATACCAAGGTATCTACGTGAACACTTAGCCTCAGAGTGTACAGTTCCTAATCTGCATATATTCACAGATGCCAGTAAGAGTGCTTATGGAGCCTGTGCATACCTTGTCACAGAAAGTACCTCACATCTGATAATGGCAAAAAACCGAGTCGCACCTATTAAACCTACAACCTTACCTCGCCTAGAGTTGATGGGAGCAGTAATTGGAGCCAGATTAGCCAACTACCTCAATGGCATATTGAACGTTAAATCAACAACCTTATGGTGTGACAGTCAAATTGTCCTTCATTGGCTTCAGTCGAAAAAACCAATGAATCAATTCATCACCAATAGAAAAGCAGTGATTGAAGAATCAACAAAAGGACATACTTGGAAATACATTCCAACTAATTCCAATCCCGCAGATCTTCAAACAAGGGGAATCTCATACAAACAATTTAAAGATAACAGTCTTTGGATGAATGGTCCTCCATGGTTAACAGAACCATCCCAGTATCCCAAGTGGGAAATTTCAAGGACATCAGCTTTAACAACATCTACAGACAAAGAAAATACGGAGGATGGATTAAAGAATACTGTCATTCATGGTGTCAGCAACATCATAGACATATCACGATTCAGCAGTCTACAGAAACTACTCAGAGTTACGTGTTATGTTTTGAGATTCGTGAAAGTATTCAAATCTTCCAGTGAACACAACAATCAACGGAGGAAGAGATCTGTTTTATTTGTGCAACAGCCTCAACTAGATGAAATGAATGAATCAACAGTACTCTGGATTAAGGATGTACAACAAAAAGAATTCCAAAAAGAGATTACTGCTATGAATGGAGGTAAACAACAAACATCCCTACAGAAGCAACTGAAACTTTATCCAGATGACAAAGGATTATTACGCTGTAAAGGTAGAATTGACAATTCTTCTTTAGAGGACTCGGCAAAATATCCAGTACTGTTACCAAAGAAACACCAGCTTACTGACCTGATAATAATGGATATCCACAAAAGAAGTTTACACTCAGGATGTTCCCAAACCATCACAGAAATTCGTCAGTCATATTGGATCCCAGCGATAAGACAGAGCGTTAACCACGTGCTAAAGAAATGTATTCCATGCCAGAAGGTAATAGGACAACCATTTCCATTACCGGATCCACCACCACTTCCAAAGGACCGTGTATCAGACTGCATACCCTTTTCGATTGCTGGAGTAGACTATGCCGGACCCCTTCATGTCAAAGTAAATAGACAAACCAAAAAGATGTACATATGTCTGTTTACATGCGCAACAACCAGAGCTGTTCATCTGGAACTTGTTCAGGATCTCTCAACGGAAACATTTGTATTAGCATTCAGAAGGTTCATTACCAACAAAGGAATGCCACACACCATTTACTCAGACAATGGATCAACATTTTTACCGGCACAACGATGCATCATGGAGGAAACTGGCTTAAATATTAACTGGAAGTTCATACCTAAAGGAGCACCATGGCATGGAGGTTTTTGGGAACGTCTGATCAGGATAACAAAAACAACTCTGCGGAAAATCCTTGGAAAGGCTTTAGTTAATGAGACGGTCCTTCGAACCATACTTTGTGAAACAGAAGCCGCAATAAATGACCGCCCACTCACATATGTCTCTTCAGATATTAAGGACCCACAACCACTGACACCTTCTCTTCTACTTAATGGACGACGCGCACTTCCAAAATACTTTTGCGGCCCGGAGAAAGATCTTCCTGACGAGGAAACGAACCAACAGCAGTTAACAAAAACCTTTATTCGAAAACAAAACCTACTTATTGATTTACATCAACGGTGGAAACGGGAATATTTAACAAGTTTACGCGAACACCATCGATGCCTCGGGAACAATGTGCAGACCTTAAAAGTTGGAGATGTCGTCCAAATATACGATACTTGCCCAAGAGTAAACTGGAAACTAGGACTAATAACAGAACTTTTGGAAGGCAGAGATCACTATTCGCGTTCTGCTATTCTAAAAACTAGTAATGGTCATACAACGTCAAGACCCGTGTCAAAATTATACCCACTTGAACTGTAATTGAGAATTAATTTACAACTTCATCTATTGTGTATATATTGAATATCTGTTAATTATCTTCAATATCATCGTGCCCCGCGGAGGATGTTATAAATTCTATGACAATTAACTTATACTATGTAATGTGCAGTGTACATTCCTGGGTTATGACGTCACAATCGTGATGACGTCATAATAGTAATGACATCATTGACTGCTTTGTATTGTATATTGTTACCATGTAAATAACTGTGTTTAGTTTAGATAAAGTATTTGTACCGAACAGATGTGTTTTATCTTACTCGGCTTAATGAGATCTATCTATCACAAATACAAAAAGCAAATAATTGAAATTTTTGCTTACAATCACATGCTGAGAATAAATTTAAGGAAATTTCTACCGATGACAGCGTGTATATATTGTATAATGTTTGGATTTTCAGGGGTGAGGCCCATTTCACTCCATCTAAACATACATTGTCTTGTTCTCATTGACACTGAATATGAATTTATTAACTGATTTTTTAATTTACAATATGTAACTGTGCATGAACTTGTTTATTCAAGTAATGTTTAAATTGTACATCTGTAAGTTAGAATGTCATCCGGGACTTGGTCAAAAAATATTGTGTGAAACAACGTACCAACTCGTGAATAGGTGACACATAAGAAATTATACATTACCCATTTTAGTATATTCTGAAAATCAAATTTATGGTCTGACTTTGAATTGATTGTGTTGCATCAAGCCTATAGATTATACGTAACCTAGGCATTTTTATCGGTATTTTTTTTTAGTGCGGAACAAATTAAATTCCGTAACTTTTTTTTTTAAATGAGAATAAAAAACACCTTTTTTGTCTTTTTACATTGTACAACACACAATATTTACCTATTTACCTTTTTCAAATGTAAAAAAAAAAAAAAAAAAAAAAATAACACCTTGATTTCTTTCACTGTTACTAGTATACATGTGACAATTGTACCATAGGACTGACGGTAAATTTAGATTTTGCTTTGATGTTGCTGTGGTGTATTTGCCGAAGAATCACAGTTTTTTAAGGTCAAGTCCACTTAGTAGTACGGAAGCCCAATAGTGCAAACCAAAAATATATAAAGAAAAACGAAATTAATATATAAAGAAAAACGAAATTAATATATAAAGAAAAACGAAATTAATATATAAAGAAAAACGAAATAAATAAATAAAGGAAAACGAAATTATTAAATAAAGAAAAACGAAATTAATAAATAAAGGAAAACGAAATTATTAAATAAAGAAAAACGAAATTAATATATAAGAAAAACGAAATTATTAAATAAAGAAAAACGAAATTGATATATAAAGAAAAACGAAATTAATATAAAAAGAAAAACCAAATAATTAAATAAAGAAAAACGAAATTATAATTAAAGAAAAACGAAATTAATATATAAAGAAAAACGAAATTATTAAATAAAGAAAAACGAAATTAATATATAAAGAAAAACGAAATTATTAAATAAAGAAAAACGAAATTGATATATAAAGAAAAACGAAATTATTAAAAAAAGAAAAACGGATTTATTAAAGAAAAAAAGAAATTATTTAATAAAAAGGAGAGTGAGGGAGAAAGAGAAAATATCAACTGAAACAAATACTTCAATCTAATGTATGAAGTAATTGTCAATAATTGTTTAACGGTATACTTAATTTGTTGATGTGTGGCATTATGCATAGAGGATCATGAGGGTGGCTGTTTCTGCTTGATTAAAATTAATGACATCCAATTCAAAAGAGCGCTTGAATCGCTGAAAGCTAGGTCAAGACCTTGCGTATCGTATTATAAAATTCCCTCCGGGATAAGCCTAGAGCCCCATCAGTATATTCATAAATCACGGGTTGTTGAAACATCAACGAGGATGATTTGATTACTTCGTGGATATTTTTACTTCACCATTCCCCTCATTTCATAAGGACGTCGCTAAAATGGCATTTTGTTCTTCTTGTGGATCACCTAATCAGAATGATAATTATTGCTCAAAGTGTGGGAAGAAAATTGACAAGTCCTTGGGTATGTATATATACAGATTCTCTCTCTCGGGCTCTCTCCCCCTCTCTCTTTCTCTCTCTCTGTCTCTGTCTCTCTCATAAACAAGTTCTACATTGTAGTTATCCATCACATTGTGACAAATACAATGTGTGGTATTTACAGAAACTACAGGCACTGAAAGAACAAAACATGTAACATTACCAACTTTTGATGAGTTTCAAAGCTTTAGAAGAGAAAAAGAACAGGAACGAAGAACTACATTTCCTTTCTCTAAAAAGGGTAGAAAATGCGAAGGGCGTGACAAGGTTGGTATAGCTAAAGACTTTCTTTCAAGCGAACATATAAATGCAGAATAAATGGTTTTCACGCACATACAATCTTTCATCATCGCAAACCACGGCCAAAATGTACGATCCTCTCCCATTGAGAGAGACAAACATGTAGACTCCGACCCGTGGCTTGAGACGATGACACCCTTCTGGTTGAGTTGACGTGTATGAAACAATTTTAATCTGAACAGTCAAATAAAAAAATAGACTTATTTGAAACAGCTCATTGTGATTCATTCGCGGATCTAGGGATTTGACAACCTCCCGTGATTTGCAGTTATTAAATGTATAATTATTATACTAAAATTAACTAAAAAGTGAGCTTGGGCTCCACCCCTTTGAAAATGCAGACCATCGAAAACGGAGATCTGTATGAAGTTGATATTAAAAGTCATAGGTATGAAGCTTCAGAATTCAACGACTATCCCTACATCCAAACCAATCACCACCACCAACTTGAAATAGGGTTTTCACGTTAGGAAAGCAGTTTAATTTCTTTTAATCCAGAAAATTCAGAGTAGACACGTTCGAAAGCAAAACAAACACACAATATATTGTCAGTCCGTGCAGTTGTGGTAAGCATAATGTGACGATTGAACGCACACGGTGAATTCTAAATATAAACAATAACAGAACTCGCGCCCTGTTTACAAAAACTGTGTACATAACACGAGTGTGCTCGATTTGCTAAATTCTGTACGCATCTCTTAGTTCGGAATGACGATACTTGTGAAGGTGTTTTGCTTTCTAACATTTCTACTCTGAATAAAATTATTTTTCTTGATAAAAGTTTTAATATTTCTCATTAAAACACATCAAAATTGCCACTTTTCCCAAGGATTAAGAATAAAGTTAAAATTTGTGAAAGTGCAAGGATGTGTCAATCAAACCCGCCAAAAAATTTAAAGTTTTAATAACAGCTGAATAACTTTTAAATGAAATAAGATTTTTAATTAATTTTTGTGTGAAATGCTATTAAAATATTCAATTCGTGATATTATACAGAAAAAATGAGATAATATTAACTTAAAATCTGTGTCCAAGTACCTTTAATGATGCGAACGTATTTGTACGTTTCATTGATGGAACGGCCACTGATCAAGAAATCTGTACAGGTGATATGCCTAATGTAGTTTATGCAAGGATGAACGCAATGGGTTTTCTGAAGAAATAAAGAAGAAAATATTCAGTGGATGTAAATATTATTGTTTAAATTTCCTTAGGCCTAGTAATCCGGATCACAATCTGAAGCCATAGAAGGGGAGGGGGCTGTTCACAAGTACCTGTGATTGGAATGTTTTAACAAGGTGCTCATTGGTTCTAGTGACCTTTTATTTTTACATTGAGATTGAAATGACAGTGAAATACAGAATGATTTTATGAATTACATGTACAGTAACTGTTATCCATTGCCGACGTGAAACCTACTCTGAGATTCGCTATTCTGAATTGAGCCCCCCCCCCCCCCTCCCCCTACACGTGCACCAGTGTGTCTTACTATGAAAAATAAATGTATTCAGCAAATTAAAATATGGTTCAGACATTTTCTTCTTCTGTGTTTTCTTATGCTACAGCGCTAGCCCAACTATCTAAAAAATAAAAGATAAGCTTTTTCCAATAATAAGGCGCGGTACTTCCACAACAACCAACTAGATCATCGTAACAGAAATTAATTTATACTAAGAAAAAAATGTTTTGATATGGAAATGCTTAAAAATTTGAAAGGCAGCTAATTTTTTTTTACTAAACAATTACTAAACAATTAGACGTCTTGCATAGCTTTGGGGCAAGTGCGTTTGCTTTAGGGTTTGAAATTCTGTAATGAGAACAAGTAACACTGTAAACGACAGGCGTCCGTATTTTTAGACGGGGTCACGTAACGGGGTCACGTGACCCCGTCTTTTAGTTTACTCTCAGAGGCCTAAAAATAGAAAACGGAAGCCGTGGTGATAACACATGAATTAAATCTACGCATACGAAAGAGTGCAGAAATTGTTTCGATCAAAACATAAACATTTTGTATCAAACTGAAGAAATTGATATGAACCTTTGTCTAACTCAACTAATAAAGTATTTTGATAATTTAAAACTGAAAATATTAACTGTAAATAACACTAGTAGACAAAGTACTATCCTGCGTATTATTATGACTGTGTACGCATCATCCATTGTTTACTTCCGGAAAAATTATTAGTTCGTACCTGATGAAATTCGGAGCAGTTCAGAAAGGTTTCCAGACTGTGAAATTATTAAAATTTCTACTTCAAATCAAATTAAATGAAAAATGTGAATGTATATTATTCATAGTTTTGTTTTTAGTATGTTAATGAAAAAATAAAGTTGTTATTATATAAAACTGAAGTTTAACTCGTAAAAAAATCACATTTGTGAAATCTAGCATGATTATTTTGACCCCGTCTTTCAGTACTGTCTCAGTATTTTGATTTTTATCGGCTACATAATGTTCTGTGATGATGTCACACAATATTCATTAATAACATTTATATACTCATGACTTTTCAATTTACTGGCCAATTCTGACTGTTCGTAAAATTTAAGTGTTCCGTATTATGATGTGATCTTCGTTGACATCTAGACATGTAACAAGAAATTTAGTTTACTCTCAGAGGCCTAAAAATAGAAAACGGAAGCCGTGGTG